ATAGACTGGAAAAGCAACTGAATGTCAACACTGCCAATTTGTTTCCAGTTGACATATCAACGTGGGAAACAATTATAAAGGGGGAAAAAAAACCTGACAGAGGTGATTTTATCTGAAAGGACAAATGAACAAACCCAATCCTGCTGTCTGATTTAAGGAAGATATTCAGGCTGTTTGGTGATAATTTTTTCATTTTTGGACCAGTGAACAGTCACCCATCACACTCAGAATAATATCACACTTTCGGGTTTACTCCGCTGGCCAAATGTTCTTGTTTTCCCTCCATAACAAGCCTCCGGATCCTCTGTGGTTGTGCTTGTGCGTAGAGTGAGTGCTCCGGGGGATAAATCAGGACAATCTGACAAGTTAAATATTTCCTGACAGTCGCACGCCACAGAAAAAAAATCTAACATGAGTTCAAATTAAATTAGAGCCCATTGAGCATTCAGCACTAATCTCTTGTCCCAAATCCTCGACAGTGGCTGCTGCTTAGTGTTTAGGAAAAAAATCAAACTTATTCTTGAGCCAGCTCGGACCAGCTTGCCCGGAGAGCCCAAAAACTAAAAGAGCGTTTCATGTTTGGCTGAACAGGTGCAATTGTGTCTCATGCTCAGTCATGTTTCTGCCTGTGCCCTCTGCCTCTCTGCCTTCCATGTGGGAGGTAAATGTCAGAGCAAAAAACGCGTCCTTCTGCTGTTTGTCTAGAAAAATAAAATAACAGCAGACAGCTGCTGTTTGTCGTCCATCCCTGTCCTTATCATTTTTTCAAGCGACTGAAGACGAGTCCCACGCTGAGCTTTGAATGTCAGTGATCATGTCGACGCTGAGTGAACAGCTTTGTAAATAATTGAAGTTTGGGCTTTTAATTTCTGTCTGCCAAAATGCTGCCTGTGTTCTTCTAAGTGTTTGATGTCTCACTTTGCTTTTTAATTTATCATCAGTCCAAATGGTGCCGTGTTGTTTTTGTTGAGTTAGAGTTATTACAATAATAAGGCATCATGATTTAGTACTTGAACAGGAATGTTTTACAGACTTATTTCTCCAAAGTGTTGCTGTCACTTTAATAGTTTGTTTTAACTGACAGGATCTGTTGATTGTACAGCAGGTAGAAAAACAGTTCTTCAAATCATACTTTAAAGCTGATATAATATATTTTAAAAGCCCTGAAATCCTCCTTACTCAATGAGCATCTTATTATGCGTGTTGAGGTCTAATATTAATACATTTTACACTAATGTTTCGACAGTTTGGGGTATTTCACACAATAGATTGCATTGCTTTTTTACTGCTTTGTTCAATGGTTTTGGTTGACACAGTCTGGTTAATACATGAAGACATTTTCACAGCTGTGCCTTCTGTTCCTAGGAGACTTTGTGTTAGGAATGTTATAACTGCTTGCTAATAGACAGAGCTCGCTAAAGCAAGAGAGCACATAACCCATCAATGATATTAATGGTAAATAGTTAAACTCCTCAAACTGAGCAAGAGACACAATCCTTAAGTTCTGAAATGACATGCTGGTGCTAGATCAAAAATGAATTCATCATCAAAGTTGTTATTATCCATCCTGGAGAAGATATGAATACTTGTACCAAATTTCATCCCAATCGATCCAAATGCTGTCGAGAAATTCAACTCAAAACCTCAACATTCGACGTCAAAGTGGTATCACGGGGGTACCAGGAAAATGAACAGGAAATTAAATCAGTATTTTTTCATGCTCTGGAAACAATAAATGTCTGTATAAAATGTCATCAAATTCCAGTATTTAATTTAGAAACTGATGAATTGACAGACCAACTGACTTTAAAAAGCTGCATTTCAACCATCTAGAGCGAGCCACACTGAAAGTATGAAAGAACTGATAAATACCCTTTCTTTGGGACAATTGTGTCATACTTATGTGACGACCCTGCTGGTCCCTTGTTTTGCTGTCTCTGCTGTTTTCTGTTTCAGGTGGCAGTGGGTGTGGCTTGGTCATCCTGGATTGAGAACAAATGGGCGCTGTGTTCTCCATCCATAAGAGCTGGCCCCACTTCCTCCTTAGTGGGAGACTTGGAGAAAGAGATTGGGGAGAGAGGCTCTTCCCCAATGCTCATTATTATTTGGTTACAATTGCTGTCATGTAAATAAACTTAAATGTATTGTTGAGAGTAACTCCTTGTCTCCTCCATTTATTTATTTATTTGTCGCAGGTGTTGAGCTGGTCGTGACACTTAAAGGTAAATAAATGCAGCATAAAAATACTTTACTGAGACAAAAATTATGGTTCACTTCTGCACATTTTTTTCTTTCTTAATGACATTCTTAAGTCCTTGCCAGAATAATCCACAACACAAGAAATACATTATGGATGTCTTCTGGACCTCTTCGATCTTAAAATAGAAAGCTGTTAAAGCTGAGTGTAGTTAAAGGCAATAATTTAGCACTGAAATTCATTTTCACATGAGACTAGGAGGAGGAGGAGGAGGGAGTCCCTTATTTGTCTCTAAAAATGATGTCTTGCTTGAGGCTGGGAAGCAGTGCTGGCTGTAGTATTCTCACATGGGTTTTACAGCACGGATTTACACTGCAGTGAATTACTTAAGGAGCAAAAAGGTTGATAAGAACTGAAGGAAATGGGGTTATTTCAATGAATACTTAAAAGTTGCTGGATAGTTTGCTTAGTACTATGCTAAATGAAAAGAATGTGGGCTGAGATGACCTTCGATAAGTGGAAATAAATGTCAGTTAACATCTTGATATTAGAAGTATTGAAGTGCAGAAAACAATGAGCAAATTGCAGAATGCTGTTTTAATTATGGCTTCATAGTTATGCATAAGTTGAGCGCTGTGCAGCCTATCATTTTCTTTCTTTGTGCTATTCTTAAACGCCCTTGGTATTTAATTCAAACAAGAACAAAATGTTCAGGTTGAGAAAAGTTTGCGCTCTACTTTCTGGTTAGAATGAGGATCAGCTTCTGTTAATAATCCTCGACAACTGCACCGCCAGTTAACCATCTGCCTCTTTTCTCCACATTCCCAGGGAGCAAGGGAGGACAACAATGCGATGATGCCAGTGCACATCATTAGTCGGTGAAGTGATCAACAAAACACAATCGTATGAGCGCCCGGAACAAAAAGACTGAACAGCGTGGGCAGCTCTGCCTTCATAGGCAGTCAGTGGGAGCCAGTGAGCAGTTTGAAGGCCTGATTTGTCAGTAAATATCAATCAAACGCAGACAAACACAAGATGTAAAGCAAAAGAGCATGAGCACATTTCACAGCTGACTTGGCAGGTCTGCAGGATTAATTGAGTTGGAGTTAGTTAGACTTTGAGGGCCCCCGTGTGAGGGAGTTGAGCAATTATGGGGACTTGAAATTCTTCTTTTTTTTTTGTTGCTGTAATCCTGCTTTTTTCATCCTAAAACACAAGTGTAATACACACACGAGCTTCAAAACAAGATACTCGCACATCCAGGAGAAACACACTTCCGTCCACTCTTTTCCCTTCAAACACTCAGATTTGTTTTTGCCCGCTCAGTTCTTTAAGTCATTAACTGGCATCCTCCTATCTCTCTCTTTCTCCCTCCACCTCTCCCTGTTTTTCCCTCCATACCGCCTCTCTCCCCCTGCGGTTCCTGTCACTTGTTCACAGACGAGTGGCCATTACATCGCCATGACCTAAATGTGTCACATCCCTCCCACTATGACTCTCTCTCCCTCTCTTTCCTCCTCCTACTCCTCCTTTTCTCCCTCGCTTATTTCTCTGCCTGTCTGTCTGGGCATCTATCAAATTTTTTTTTTCTTCCTTTTTTTTTTTCTGTCGCTTCCCAATATTCACATACTTTGAGAGGGGGAAACGCTTTTGCTCTGTTTTATGCAAATGTTGACTCTCGATCCTAAGCAGCTCTACTGCATGTATGTCTACACAACTCTCTTCATGACAGATAATAAGTGCAAATGTTGCATCACTACAAATCCGCAAATCCTTTGATACAATAGAGTCTCTTTCTTACTACTTCATCCCTTCCTGACCTGTTTGCCCTCGTTTCCTACAGCACTCTTCATCAAACACAGTTGTGTATTAGAGCGACAGCAGCTCGTCTCTGTATTGATCCAGACGCTTCGTATCTCAGGAAATACAAAAAGAAGTGAACTTGTAGGAAGAAGCGATTGGCCTGAGAGTTGACAAATTATGGTCATTCTTACGGAATCAATTATAAAACAAACTCTCTCTCTGCAGCATTTTTCACGCTACTGTAAAAGACCTCCATATTCTTGATTTTTCTGACTTCGTAGTTTTGAAGTGATTAGAAAGTAGAGTAGAGTAACTACTTCTTTTATTTTAAATTTTAGCGTAAAGTGGCATCAGTAATAATGCAGGTAACAGTGTCAGTATCACAAGGGTTTTAAAGAAAATATATAACACTACCAAAGCAAACTGAAAAAGATAACCATGACACCAGTGGATAAAAGTGAGGTAAAAAAAAAAAATGGATGGGGCTGAGTGCATGACGAATTTAAATGTTGCAGTGTTGATCAGGATGAGGCAAGACGATCAAGTTTAAATGGACAAATTTCCAATGTGTTAAAATTAGTTTGAACTGAAGTTTACTTGTGGCAGACCCTGGCCCACATCTGTGAACACAGCTGTGTGATGTCTTGTTAGTTTGATTGGAGTTTTGTAAAATAGAATAAAAACGTTGGTGTAACTCCACCAAGCGGAGCTTCAGACGATAAACATTTAATAGCAGAGTGTTATAGAGGCAGCACATGTAAAGAACAGATCCAATGAAAAAGACATTATCTAGTTTCATTATTAGAAGAGTACGAGCCAGTGTTTTTGGAGCCTGTCACGCTTTTTTTTTAATACGTCTCTCACACGTCACCTCAATTTATACAAGTGCATTACCAAATTGCTGGAGCACTTTGCTACTACATGTGGAAAATTGAATGGACATGATGCAGAGATTATCCACCTCTACATGAGTCAGGTGATCACATGTCCTCAGACTTACCCAAGCAGGCAGATCCATTGAGGTTCTGCTCGTAGCCTTCGTCACAGACACATCCTCCCACTGGAACCATCCATTCGCCTTCAGCGTTGCAGTGCATACGAGGGGGTGGGCCTCCCTGCGGTTTACTGTTGGGGACACATGTCCCACCCACGGGGACTAAGGCGGTCGGCTCGGCTCCTGAGGGGGTTGGCGGGTAAGATGCCAAGTAGAGGCTGGTGGCCGGACAGCGACGGTAAAAGATTGAGACACCCATAAGGGAAACACAAGCTCCACTGTCGACGATTGCCAAGACAAATCTGAGATGAAAGTTAAATGTAAATATAAAGCCTCTTGAGTAAGATTATGGCGTTGATACATGAGCTATAAAACATAGAACAGTGATAAATACCCGTTGCGTGTGAGCGGGGCAAAGCTGCGTGTCTTGATGTTGATTCGTTTGTATCTGTTGGGTTGATACTGGTGAGGTGAACTGGGCTCTACCTTGGAGAAACTTTTATCAGCTGCGATGGTGTCAACCTTCACCCAGCCCTCCCTGGTGTCCTTCTCTCCGGTGGATGGCTGCAGGTAGTACAGAAGACATTGGAGGGAGGGATCATGGGAAAAGAAAAAGATGAAAAACAAGCTGTGTTATTCCAAGGAATATATATAATGTGAAAAAGATTCATGAGAGGAGTAAAAGTTGACTGTGATGTATGCAAGGCCCAGCAGGGGATCGTGCTCAAGTCCCTGCAAAGACTCTCAGCGCTGCGGTGCTTCCTGCTCTCCTGTGATTCTCCTCTGATTCCTCATCAGGGTTTCATTTGCATTTTTAAACAGCATCTCACATCCCTAAGGAAGAAGTGTGCTCATCTATACAAATACCGCAACCCATCCTCCCCTTACTTCTCTCTCTCCGTGGCTGCGACTGCACGTGGCTCAGGCCTCAGTAGCTCAAAGTGTCCCAGAAAAAGGAAAGTTAAAACTAAACACATTAATAAGTAACACATCTGTGGGCAGTCAGTGTCAGTGACTTAAAGCATGTTAACTGCTTCACTGATAACATATGAGGTTCTCAAAAATGTCCTTCATAAGATTAAAATGCAACTGATTAAAGGAGCACGTCTCTGCCGTCATTTATGTTCTTAAGAGCAACCCCGATGATTATGTCATTAATCCTTTTCCTAAAATGATGAGACGTTTTTCTGTCTCTGTAAAACATGAACGAAACATCTTTTTTTTTTCATCTAATCTCATCTCAAGAAGAATCATTTTTCTTTGTTTTAATGCTTTATGATTATCTCAAGGCTGCTTGGTGAAAAAGCAAATCAACATTAATCCTTGTTAAATTCAGTTGTAATCACATGCATCTTAATTAAAGCATCTTAGCTGCTAAACATTTACAGTTTTAATTCATCATGTGTTTAAGTTATAGCGAATCTGACTAAAATAAAGTATACTTTATGTTTATATATATAAATGTAGTTGCATGTTAGAAACTGTAATTCAGAGTTAGAAGTACTCATCTGGTTAAAAGAAAACTGATGATGCTAACTTAAGCAGCTTAGTGACGGTGTTAGCGCCACCTGTTATTTAAAGGGGCTGTATGTAACTTTCAAAAACACTGCGTTTGTAGCGACACCGCATGGCCGTTAGGTGAACTGCACCAGTGACCTGTTGCTCGCTCTCCCTCGCGTGCTCGTCATACGTGCTCGTACGTAAACAAACGAGCATCATCATCGGCCGCGAAACACTGGATATTTACTGACATAATGTTTACAGAGGAGGTAAGTGGGAGTGAGGAGGACGTTGAGAACGCGCACAAAATGTGACTTCCTGGAGCTTTCGCGGAAAATACGACCCGGGGAAAAAATTTAAACAGGCAACACAGATAAACAGTTAACATCTACTTTTTCACATCAGTTAACCGTTCGCTTATTAATGGGCGATAAAAAAACGATTTATACATGTAAAAAGTTACATATAGAACCTTTAAAGCAGAAAGATCACACTGATAAAGGATTTTAACAGTTTTAAAATAGTATCCAGTAAATGTACTGTACTTATCTAGTCTGTGTGTCACAGAAGGTGGGAAATATAAGATAGTTAAAATTACATTTGTCTGTTAGCTTGATAAGTTAGCGATGCAGCTGTTTGCAACATCTCCGTCAGCTACTGGGTGTAAATATCTACTTAAACCTGCTCTTTAATCTACAGGAGGGAGATATAAGCTAGTTCTAATTAACATTGTCTGTTAGCCAATTCAGTTAGCAATGCGCTTGTTAGAAATATTTTTAGCTCTGACCAACTCTCTCATCTACTGGGGTGATTTATTAGCATGCTTACTGTATTTTTGCCAGGAGGCTAGTTTCAGAGCAAGTGTTAGTGACATCCCAGTCAATTACTCAAGGAAAATATTTTCTAAAACCTTAATTCATGGAAGAAATAGTTTGAGTAGCGCTAGACATTTTTATTTCCATGTTTTAACACTTTTTACTGAAACTAGAGCAGGTTTAATGGTTGTAGGAATCCTTCACTGGACACTTAACCAACACTTATATTTGAAATGTATATGTTTATTTATTATCAAGGTTGAGAGTGTGTTAAACTCAAACTATATATGTTTAAACTATATGGCAGGTAAGTCGCAATACGCTGGAAAAGCAAATTGTATGAGTACTTAAACTAGTAATGTCTTGAGCACAGCCTCATTCATTTGGATTGTCTTATCACAACGTTTCCCTGGTGAAACTCAAACCTGCACGATGATGATGATGATGCTACTTGCTTTACACAAATAGTCCATGTAGGCACATCCTGTGATGTTGGTGCTCACCTCAGCTACCCAGGTCCTCTCCAGCTCTCTCTGAGAGTCGGCCTGTTTGTAGTACAGTGTGAGTGTCTCTCGGCAGGAGGGAGACGGTGATCGCAGGCTGGCACAGTCACGCACCGAGAAACGCAATGTGACAAACACCCGTGGAGCAGAGTGGCGGTACAGGAAGGGCGTGGCCAGCCAGTTGTCCTGCTGACGGGGATTTTGGTTGACATTGCAGACCTCGAAGGTTCGTATGAGCTTCCCTCTGTCGTCCAAGACACTGACCTCATCCCACTGATAAACACAGAAACATGATATTTTTTACTGTGTGTGATAGTTGAAGACGTTTACTCTTAAGCAAAGAGCTCCAAGAACAAACTGATTAAACTGTAAAAAAGGTAAACGAGTTCATCTTCAGTGTGGGGTCAAACAGCCAACACAACACTGCATCCATTTCATCTTTATCCTCAGCTCGATAGGGAAATAGAAAAACAGAGTACTTTTTTTGTAATATAACACACACACACACACACACACACACACACACACACACACACACACACACACACACACTATGATTGCACTCACGACTGAAAGCAGTTCTTCAGTGACCCCAGTAATGTAGGTCCTCTCTGCGTCTTTGTTATTCACAACTGTTTAATTAGGTAGTCCATGATTACACCAGTTGTTAATTAAACCACTTGAACCTTCTATTCAGATCACAACACATTTCAAGACAAACCTGTAATGATCCAGATACTGCAGAGGAACAAAAGGTTTTTTTTTTACTTCTACTGGTTTTTAGATAAATCAAATATTTTTAAATGTGTGTGTCCCAATGGAGATCAATCGAATCTTGATTCTGGTGCAAAAGTCTATATGCATGTTAGCAACCCTGTGAGGTGTGTGCATTGAGCGAATTGCATAATTATGTCAGCAGTCAGCAAACATCGATAACATGCTGCTGTTTACTAGCGTCAGTGTTTACCATGTTCAGTGTCTCAGTTTAGCTTGTTAGCATTTTGAGATTTAAATTCCACTTGGTTTACAGGGATTTTGTCATAAACAAGCCTCTGGGAAAAAATAATCCCATCCATCTCTCTCTCTCTCTCTCTCTCTCTCTCTCTCTCTCTCTCTCTCTCTCTCTCTGAGAGTTTGTGTGTGTATTTGTGTGTGTGTGTGATCTCTAGTGTGGCTGTATGTGTTTCGATATATTTTTATTATCTTAATGTTTGTTTTGTTTGATTGCTATGTGGTATGTCTGATGTACGTTGGGTGCATGTTGTATCGATTTCTTTATCTTATTCATGATTGTGGAAATGATTGTTAATTCCTGTATTCCTGTGTTTCAACCCCCAATAGAAAAATCATACAGCAACTATTATGTTTTATGAGACGTATTTGGTCCATTTTTTTCATGCACTCATTGTTCACATGTGACGGTGGTGAACACTCTTGTGTCTCACTTGAAGAAACTGTTATGTAATGAAACAAGCAGATTGATCCATAATTAAGGAAATCTTAATTGTAGATGCGCATAAGGATTTGGAGACGAGTTGTACGTTCATGGAGGGAGAAAATGGGAGCAGCACAAAGACACGACTGTGAATAAGACTGTCACTTGAGTCAAAATGTAAATGTGTGGCAGGGTTTAGTTTCACCGATTATACAGTACGGAGCCTCTGAGGATGAAAAGGCTCTGATTTAAGCCTGTGTAGCCCTGAGTGACAAGCAGGGCCTTTTCTGTTGTAACACAGAGGAATTATGTATTCAGCCTCATCATAATTATTCTAATGCAACAATGGCAAGAGGACAAAGGTCCTGACACCCTATCAGGGTCCTTACAGCATGTGTCTGTGTTTGTGTATGTTCTCGGCATGCTCATGTCTCTTTCTCTGTGTGTTTCTGACAGCCAGAATCAAGAACAAAAAAAAGAAATCTTAGTAGCATTACACATGAGAGAGTGCATTCATATCTGGTCCAATTGGAATAATAATAAGATCAGTGTGCAGATACAACGAGTCTGAGCTGCTGCCAGTCTAATGGAGTGAAAGGACAGTTTTTCTCTCCCCCAGGCTGTGATTCCCTCTCTGTCATACGTGAGAACAAGTGAGGGAGATGGAGGGGACAACAGGGAGCACATGGTGGGACGGAGGGATGCAGATGGCACAAAAAAATCGGGTAAATAGTCAGCAAAGAGTGTATTTGTGTGTGTTTTTGTGTGTGACAGAGTGAGGTGGCTGCAGAAAAAGCCGGATGATGAGGACTTTGTCGCCGCTGGACACTGTTTTGTGGCTTTGCGTGCAGTTTGCTTCCGTTTTCTTTTTGTTTTTTTCCGACCCCAAACTTCAAACTACTCCCTTCATGCCCCTCCTTTAACGCTCATTTCTCTCTTTTCTCTCCCTCTCTAATGAAGAAAGAGGGCAGATTGGGGGAAGGAAGGAGGGATGAAGCATTGGTAGGAAGGAAGGAAGAGGACAAAAACAGGGACGACTCATCTTCATGATTTAATTTGAACTGAAATGCCAGAGAGCCAGAGAGCAATCTCTCCAGTGACAGAGGGCAGGGAGGGGCAGGGCCTTCGACACACACACACACACACACACACACACACACACACACACACACACACACACACACACACACATATCTGGAGAAGCTGAGAAAGGCACACACAGACACCCCAAGACATATGCATGTACGCACACACACACACACACACAAGGCAAACACAATGGAAGAATAGCAAATGGAATCAAGGGAAGGAGGGGAAAAAGCAGCAGACTCCAGAATTCTACTGGAGTCTGCACCGGTTTGACACCGAGGGGAAATCCAAGGGAGCAAAGGGGAGATAGAGTTGGGGGATAAAAGAGAGAATATGAAGCAGAGACCCAGTGGCACTGGGTCTGTGAAGGGCAAAGGAAAGAAAGATTAAAAGAGGGAGAGAGAGAGAGGCAGAGACAAAGGAGCAGAGGAGCTTCTTGTCAGTACATTAAAGAGAAGGGATAGACGATGAGAGAGCATGAAGAAGCAGGAAGAGAGCGCAGAAAAGAATATCCAGAGAGCCTCCAGCAAGAGAAAAAGATGGAATGTGAAGAGAAAAGTGAGGAAAGAGTTAAAAAAAAAGAAGACGCACGCGCACACACACACACACACACACACACACACACACACACACATTTTCTTTTCTCCCCCTCTCGTGGTCTGTCTTTCTACTTCTCTCAGCTTGTTGCCTTGGGTCAAATAACCATATCTCCATCTCAGAAGCACTTCTCATCCAGGGACCATAATATGAAAAGGAAAAGAAATCATGCAAATGCTTGACTTGCTTTGGCACACACACACACACACACACACACACACACACACACACTGACACACATGGATGGCCTCTCGTTAGCAGCGGCCATCATGGTTCACAAATTTCCTTGCACACACACGAGGCCTTGATTAATCACACATCATGTTTGATTATGGGCCGACACTGGAGGCCAGCTGTGGTGATAGTGACGCAGAAAGAGAAAGTTAAGTGTAAAGTGAGATAAAAGGCTTCATGAGTGTGCGCATTTGTTTGCCAGATGTTGGTTGAAGACTACTGATGGTTTCCACCCTACTTGTTCAGCAGCCAACGTACAGCGTTGGCTCTGATAATAACTTGTTATAATAGTTGGATTCCTTTTAAAACCAAAGTTAGTGGTCGAGTATTCAGATTCTTTACCAAAGAAAGAAGGAAAGAAATACCACAGTAGGAAAAGACTGCGCAAAAGTGCCTAACTGCAAACCTTCGTGAAAATTATGTCGATATTGCCAGCAAAATATTTGCTAGTACCAGAAGTAAAATGTGCCAAATGGGTCAATATTTATGGAGCATTAACCTGTATGAAGATTTCTCTTGTGAATGCAGAATCTGAAGTCTGATGGCCAGGGAAAAGATCTTTGGTGTCAGAAACATTCTGGTTACTGTTTGCAGTCTGAAAAGTATTGTCCACTAGCATTTTCTGAAGACACAGGGGAAATAAAATACAATCCTGGATCTCATCTGCCATCATTTGGTGACAAAAAGCAATGTATTAAATCACTATTAAGTCTTTTTAAAGAAAATACTGGGAAAAAAATGACACCTTTTGCCTTTATTGATAGGACAGCTGAAGAAATACAGAAAATGTTGGGAGGAGGCAGTGGGGTAAACATGCATCAAAGTGCCGAGGCATGGAGTGGAACCTGCTACCGATGCATCCTCGACTATCCTCTGTATAAGGGGTGCCTGCTCTACAGACTGAGATAAACCAGTGCACCCAGAAAGAAGGAAGTCTTCACCTGAAATCCTTTATCTCCAACCGCTTGCTACACTGGAAGCCCCGAGAGGTTGTCTGTCAATCCAAGAGGTTACATTACTTTCAGCTGAGAGCAGATTGGTTCAGAGACTGCAGCTGTACTGACTCGTATGTTGCATTGTATTATTGATGTTTAAAGCTTGGCTCACTTAAAAGTACTTTCAGAAGAAGAAGAAGAAGAAGAATACTTTATTAATCATCGGGGGGGGGGGGGGGGGACATGCACTAATGAGGAGATTCAGGAGTGAGGGGGCTGCACATAGACGAGTGCCTTAAACAGTTTGGAGTTCGGAACCTCGGCAGCACCCAGGAAGTGCAGTGGCAGCTCTCCAGCAACCAGTCCCAGTTTGCATACTTTGATCCATACCGGGACCCTCTGGTTCCCAACCTTTCTTAAGACTGAGCTACTATTGCTCCCCTGTTACAAGTAACATGTAGTTGGTAGTTTAATGTAGAGAAAAGCATCATGTTGTACAAGACCGTCATTGTTTTGTGTGAATTACATATCTTTAGAAAGTCCTGTTTTCATAATTTCAGAGAAGAAAGCCCGAATAAGGAGGATTTAAATATGTTGTCTGAAGAAGCAGGTGACTTAACTTTACTTATTTACTAAAGAAGGACTTACTCCTTCAGTTTATCACTACATTTAAAAAGAACAATTTGGAGACAGGTGGTGTCAAATTGGACATGAAATGGATGAAAACATGAATTTAAAAGAAGCTACACATAAACTTGCAAAAAATGTAAATTACCCAATTCATTAAATGTGTACTAAATTACAGTATATATATATATATATATATATATATATTATAGCACTACAGTAAATGTACTGAGTTACATTCCCTCACTGTTAAAAAACCATCATGTCTGAATGTATTATTTTCGCTAGCAGTGACTCTACATTTATATGTTAGAGGTTTTGTTTTCATTGTCCATTTATGGATGGAGTCTCAGAAAAATATGTTTTTTTTTCAGTAGAGTATCTGATGAAGGAATTTCCTCCACAGAAACATGTACGAGTAGTGACCTACAGTTTCTATAGTTTTTCACATAGTTTGACTGATTATCTCAACGATGGTGACAATGAAGACCGTGTGTGTGTGTGTGTGTGTGTGTGTGTGTGTGTGTGTGTGTGTGTGTGTGTGTGTGTGTGTGTGTGTGTGGGGTGTGTGTGTGTAATTATGAGCCATATTAGAACTGAGCCACAATCACTCACAGATGAATGAATTTAACTGACCCAAGAGTTGACCCTGGCACAGTCACGCAAATATAGACACACATATACTTGCCCTCACACACACACACATACATACACACACACACAGACACATATTTGCACAGCTCAAGGCGATGCGACATCTTCAATAAAAAGCAGCTCAAGAATAGGAGGTCTGTGGGTCAATCACTGTAATCTCCTCCAAGATGCAGACACACAGCAGAGGCTAACCGAAAAAATAAAACATTTTAACCCTCATGGTTGTCTTTTAGGCGAGGCGAGACATTGCTCATTATCTTTGGCACCTGCGAAAAAGTTCCTCCAATCAATGTCAGATACCACACTTTCCATAACCATAATCCATAACTAAGCAAAAAAAAGCTTCACGCTGAGATCAGAAACTTTCTGCATACTGTGATTTTCTGCAATGCTGAGTTTTCCAGGAAAATTAAACCCAGAAGATTTCATGGAAGGATGGTGTTTATTTCAGCCACTGTTTTCATGCAAAAGAAAGCCACTCGATGTATTATACTGGCTCTAACCAGACTTTAAGAGCTCGTGTGAGCAGGAAACAAAATGTTCACAGAGCAGAGTATTGAGACACAATAAATGTGTTTTTGTGTTTTGACAACCCAGTTAGGAAATAGATAAGATGCTCATGTTTGTGTTTCATTATCTATCATTTGGATTAATTATGAATGGCTGAGAAGCACAGAGAGGATAGTTTTCACGTGCAAGTGAATTTTTAAATATATAGTATGTGTAATTAAAGTTGAATGATACATACAGGAACTTCATCCATAATTAACCCATTACACAGACATACTCATTATCATCATCTGACTAAATCTCTACGACAGCTTCCTTAAAGGCTTTATATGTGATTTTATTAATTGTTATTTTCAGAGGATATGCTTGATTTCTATTACATTGAAGTGTGAAAAATTGATAAAGCCTTTAACCTTTAGTGGAAGTTTAGTCAGAGGGTTAGTCAGAAGGTTGCATCAGTAAGACATTTCCATGGTGGGGTAATCGTTTCAGATCATGTTATGGTTTCACGTTATTACGGTAAACTGAGTTACACAATAATCATTATTATTATTTTTTAGAACCACCCTGATAGGAATGGAAACGTGTTTGTTTGGTGCAGCAAATTATAGATATGAACTTTTCCAAAACATAGATCTTGATAAACTCAGATGCACAAATTAACATTTAATCAAAACAAATGTCATACCATGAATGGTGATACATGTATACCTGTGCAACTCTTTTGATTAATGAATTCTTTATTTTAGAGCAGAAATACCAAACATTTTATGGTTTTAGCTCTGCAAATGTGACCCTTGATTCCTTTTTGTTTTTGTGAATAATAAACAAAAAGGGTTTTTGACTGTTGGTCAGACCAAGAAATAGAAATGTAGGGGCGCGCTGGTAGCCTAGTGGTTAGTCCTCCAAGCGGGCGGCTTGGATTTAAATCCGACCTTCACTGCATGTCATTCCCCACTCTCTCTCTCTCTCTCCCCCCAGTTCCTGACTCTTTCCACTGTACAATCTCTAAAAAAATAAAGGCATGAAAAGCCCCAAAAAAAACCTTTAAAATAATGATAATGATAAAAAGAAATGTAAACATATCAACTTGGGCTACAGGAACTGGTGCAAAGTATTACACAATATTATTTTCTCACCTCTAAGGACCAATCCATGTAATCAATAAATAATGAGCTTACAATAATGTTCAGTTGCAGCCCCAAAACAAAGCTAACAATTAATAGAATACCAGCAAAGTTTGTGTAAAGAAATGTGCTTATTTCCCTGTGTTAAACCTCATGCAACAACATGTGTTCAGCCCATTTGATTGGCCTCCCAACAAGAACCCTTTATAGCTCCGACAGCTGTGGAGCACATTGAGTTTGGAGACTCACCCCTGTGTCTGGATAGGTGGTCCAGCCCAGCTCGGAGGTAGACTCTGTTGTGTCCAGCAGCATCACTGAGAGGAGAGACACAGAGAAGGTGAGAAAACCGACAAACAAGATGAGCCGCTTTGAGTTAAATGCTATTGATTCCTACTGGAGAATTTAAACATGAACAGAGTGAGTGGTTTAAACAAGAAGTGGCTGTGAAACAGGATTTCTAATCATGAGACACTCTCTCAAGGTGTGAATCACAGACTGATTCTGTGACTAAAACAAATGTAGAAGTTGAAATCGAGAAGATTACAATTAAAAAAACCACAAGGAGTTGGCAATCTGTCTAGTGTCGGTGGAACAGGTCCAGGCTTTGTCTACGTTTCTCTTTGATTCCCCTCCCCATGCAATAAAATGATGGAGGGCTCCAGCTGTGTGCATCTGTCAAACCCAATTACCCACTCCGAGTCATGAAGCGTTCTGGCACAACTTTCTAGTTTTAGAAAAAAAGATTAAACTTATTGACCTGATGGGGGCACTATGATTAAAGGTCACATTTTCCAAGTTTTAAAAGGCCATAACAGTCACTGTCACATGTTGTCTAAACTCAGCAAGCTCATGTGTATTTCAGTCTGGCACGAGGAGGAGCTTCTCCATGTTATGTCCAGTGTTGGCTTTACTTTTGTTTTGGCTTTTAACGCACACATTTGCTCATTTCAAATGATGTGGAGTAAAAGCACAAGGACAGCGTATGAGTTTTATGATGGAGTGTTATTTCGCATAATTTGCTTTTAGGTTTAAGTGCTTTAAAAAGCAAGCTGGCAAAGATATGACACACACACATACACACACACACACACACACACACAAACACATACACACACACACACACACACACACACACACACACAAGGGGTGACTTTAATGCTGAGTGCTGCGTGCTGACACATGGCAGCTTCCCACACAAAACTGAAGCCCTTGAATTTTCCATTAGTATTCCTAACAGTGGTGGCTGCTGTTTCTTCGGTCTGGCACGGTTCGGGTGCATTTCTGTTGAGGAGACTCTGACATAAAGCACGCCAAAGTTTGCCGCGCACACATAGGTAAAAAGAAAATACAACTTCAGGTTTAGGATACTTTCTCAGATGGAGCTGTGGTCGAAAAAAAAGCACATTGTCTGATTTCAACAAACACAATACTAAACAGCTGAAGTGCATTAGGCACAAATGCATGCAGGCATCCACCTTTGTTTACAAAAATAAATAATTCCTCTCTTTTTTGCCATACAATTTTTATACTGTGGTTTCCATTTCATGTCACACAATGGTTCATGGGAGAGAAAAGGAGGCTCGTTTTCTCTCTTTGACAACTGCACAAAAAGCGACAGAGATACATTATCCACACAATCATCACACACACAGGAGAATGGTCATTTGAAAAGGTATCCTGTCTCACTGGTGACTGGGCTCATTTTTTATTTCTCAGGTGGAAAAGCCTGTGCACACACACTGAATCCCTCCGCCTGTCTCAAATCAAACAAATAATAGGATACTGGTATCTTTCATGGCTTGTATTCATCCTGCAGCTCCCTGTTCTCGCACTGTGCTCTAAACAGATTTTTTTTTTAAGGATTATACTCACAGATGGAGACCCTGCAAATCTGTCCTCCAATCCTTCATGTCCCTCTTTCGCAACCCCCCCCCCCCTCCCCCCCCACCCCGTCTGTCTATCTCTTTCACCCACTGTCTGTCTGTCAATCTAAGTAAATTCACACATTTTCCATGAACGTGCTAAAGGATGAGGAGTGATATGCATTGTATCAGTAAAAAGAATATAAACTGACTGTGACAGCAAAGGATTATGGGCAACCACAGGCCTCAGAATAGTTTTTAGTGAGGCGAATGTCTGGACAGACTGGCAGCTTGAATCTCAGAGCACAGCACTAAACAACATTTAGCTTAGTGCTGTGCTCCTGGTGGATTAATGTGGGGTCTTTAGGAATAACATAACAGAGAGTACAGACTAGACCTGTGTTTCTAAAGTGTTTTGAGATAACATTTGTTATGAATTAGTGCAATACAAATCCAGATAAGATTCATTGATTGATCAAAATCAGCCATAGTCAGAGAGCTAAATCCAGCAGGCCAGGATATTTAAATCCTTTCAGAAGAATAATGATTTTCCATTAGTGACACATTGTTGCTGCTTTGTTTGATGATGCAACAGAAGACGCACTCAGATGACAGCTTATTGGTGGAAAACTACTGCAACACAACTGCAATGCTCCTTCAACAAAGTTATAATGTTTTTTTATGTTTTTGGTTTGAGATGTTCCCATACTACTGTTGACTGTATTGTACTGAGCGATTTTTGTCGACTTAACGATTAAACATTATCACTCTCGCTATTCTCTCGAAAAATTATTATTGTTTTTTTAATATATAAGCAGGTGGCATCTAGTAGTGGCAGCAGCCAATTTAGCAGTATATTTATGTATAAAGTTATATGTAGGCTGTTAGGTTAGACTGACATATAGTATGGATTTACTTTACTTTACTATGCAAACTCTGGCTGCAATTGTGCAATATCTAGGCTATCATCAGGGGTATTTTGGTTCATTCTAGTACAACTGGAGGGGGTACAACTTCATCCATCTTGTCAATACCTACAGTAGCACCAAACTTGTTAGTTTTTGTCACACAGTAATAAACCTGAAACCAGTTGATCACTACCTTGATGCCTGTTACAGTATATGCTGTTTAAGGCAGTATCAGAGGTTGGGGTGACAAATAATTACAGTGTGACAACATCGAAACAGCCTGTTGGTTACTTTCAAAGTTGTGTGTCGCTTGTTACATCTTTTTTGAACGTAACAATCATTTATGCTAACATGTGACACGCTATTCTGACCCAATTAATCGAAAGCCTATTTATATCAGACAAGAACACACATAGCCAAATTGTGCCATGTGCCATTCCAAATTCAATTAACCCTCTGCTCCAGGGCACATTCATGCATAAATAAAATATAAATTATATATAGCCAACTATTTAGACATGAATATTTATGCCTCTACTGTTTAACTTCTTGCCGTGCAGCCATGAGGGAGCATGGGGTCCTCACATTGCCTCTGCTCTCCCCTCGACAAACCTGTACACGAGGATTACATGGAAGGGTGTTCAAAGAGCTTCATGCATGTCTCATTGCGTGACATTAGCATGTTGAATAATTCACCACGACATCCTCAGAGAAGAAGCGTTGAGTGCGGAGTTACACACGTCTTCCAAGGATTAGCTCCAACAGGACGGGATTTTGTATGTGTGTGTGTGTGTGTGTGTGTGTGTGTGTGTGTGTGTGTGTGTGTGTGTGTGTGTGTGTGTGTGTTCATGCGCGCGACAAAGTTGAACAAAAGACATGGAGCACTGTTTGCTGCCAGGTCCACTAGGCAGTTAAAAGCCCCTTTATTTAACTCTGAGACGACAGCATCTCTGTTACTGGTCCATCTACAGGCTCGACACACTCAAAGTTTGTCCCTGACAGTTTGGAGAAGTGCTGAGTCTGCAATCTGGACCTGAGTGCTGTTAATGCACGCCGTCCCTCACGTCCTCCTGCTCCTCTTTGGTTTTTTTACTCACTCTATCTCTCAATACCTTACCTCCATCCTGTCCCTTGTCCCTCTCTGAGTGTGTGTATTATTCATCTAAAAAAGTGACATCTCTGTATGTTGAATAAGGACATACTCTGCTCCATTATTGATGTTCTGCTGTTTGTTTGGAAAAGAGCTTTGGAAGTAAAAGGGGGAGACAAAGGAAGAAAAGGGCAGGATGATGACAGAGGAATGAGAGGAGGATGATAGGATTGTGTTTGTGCATATGAATGTGCTCTTTTCTTGAAATAGCGTGGGTGTAGATGCTCTTCTCTGTTGTGTAGAGGGGACCTGCATTAGTTCCCGGCTGTCCCCTCTGCCACTCGAGTCTTTCACTTCAGCTGAGTGACCCTCTCGCCGCTCGCTCTCTCTCTCTCTCTCTCTCTCTCTCTGCCTGACACTTTGCCTCTCTGTGTGGCCATGCATGCGTTGACACTCTCCAGCGCTAAGTGTAGTGCCGTTGTTCATGTCACGCCTCTTTGACACCACATGTAGGCTTCTTTACCAGCCGATGGAGCCCCCGCTGACACTCAGCAAAGGATTCATGTGTTAATATTAACGTAGGCTGGAGGTACGTGAGTGTGTGAGCGTGTAATACACCTTAACACCAGAGTAAATGCACCTGCAAAGAGTGCAAAGCAGCAGAGCTCGCAAGGTAACAAAAGTATCATGCACGCACATTTTCACAGAAAAATTCCCACAGTGTCTGCAAGCGTTTCCAGCAGCGGTTGAGCTGTGTTTTTGTCTTTTGTCCACTCAAATCCGCCCTTTCTTTATATGCTCCAGATTCTCCCGCCCACAGACAGTCAGTCAAGGACAGGCCTACACCAAACCATCATTACAAACAACCACAGCGAGAGAGTGATACGCCAAGACACAGAGGGAGCAAGAGGAGGAGGAGGAGGAGGGCAGAGCAGTGAGGAAGGAGGGGGATTAACGCGATTCCAGAAATAAGCATGCACATGTCAAAGGGAGTTATCAAAAGATTCTCGGAAAGTTGAGCTGAATGAAAGTGCAGCTGCAACAAACACTACTTAAGCCAAGTTAGATGACAGGCAGCAACAGGCACAGGTAGGAGGACACAGCACGGAAACTGACTCTTCTTTGATTACAAGGCATGCAAAAAAAAAAGAAGATTGGTTAGGTTGTTGTCACGGGGATAGTTATGGATATTACGTCTTAAACTGGTTTGAAAACATTTTGGGGAAAAATTCTTCACTTAATGCAGAGTCAGGCCGATGTAAATATGAAAGTGGTTTGTATTTTGTGTTGTCTGACCTTGTTGTCCAAATCAACTAAACTCGAAGGCAAAGGGAAAGTCCAAACGTCACAGAGACGGGGAGACTCCAAATCGTTTAAGGAACAATTGGATTCGATTTGGTGGAATCCAACTTAAAACCCTCACTTAAACTTCCCTTTGAAGGACAGCAAAACTA